GATAGGTTTTAAAATTCTGAAAACCTCTATTTAAAAAAAATGTTTTTTTAGAAACAAAGAATTTGAAATAGCTTTTTTAAAGTTATTTTGAAATTTTGATTTTTCTAAATAGTTTGTAAAGTCAATTCAACGAATTTTTCAAAGATTAACTTTATATAATTAAATATAATGCATTTATTACGTCATAATACATTGATTTAAATTTATAGTTGTTTTATATTATCTTAATCATTATAATTGCTTATAATACAAAGATGATTAAACAATTATATTGTGTAATTTTCGTTTATTTAAAAAATATTTTTTGTAATTTTTTATACATTCAATTTATTTTTATTTTTACGTTCAAAAAAAATTTATTTAAAATATAGTCAATAATGCTAAAAAAATGCTAATTAACATTAAAATAATTTTTAACAAATACATTTTGTAATATATTGTCAAGTTTTTTGATTGGTATGTTGAAAAGTGCTGAGTACTAGCTATTGGATTGTTTTTATTCGAAAAATAATATAATACTGGTTATTACAAATATTGTAAGTGTATATTTATGTTTTTATATAACTATAAAAAATATATTCTTGTTAAATTATTTATGCACAAGAGACTAATGAATAGCTATTGCATTTATATTGAATAATGATCATAAATATTACTAAAAGAACGTGTGCTTTTTAAAACAACATTATACATTGAAAAATTGATGACTGGAGTTATAAAATATTTGTTAGTGGAGACATTGAACATCATAGCCCCTCTAAGAATGACTGATTACAATGTAAGTGTAGTATTAATCGTTCGTTGCTTCAGAAGTACGTTTTTATATAATTTCTAACGACCATATTGTTTACATGGCTCAGTATGTCAAATAACTTAATTGCGTAACATGAAAGAAATTGCTATCTAGTAGAATTACTTAAGTATTATAAATTTATGGTTATCATTTCGATTTCTAATAGTAGAACGATTGCATTTTGATCAGCTCGAAACAATAAATGATTGATGTAGTATTTTATTAATATTTAATATAAATAATGATATATGAATTTGAATAGTTATTATTTATAATTTATAATTTGAAATTTTTTTTACTTAAAAGTCCATCACTTTTTTATTTTTTAAAATTAACAGATGATTTGTGAATGTCAGAAAACATAATTACTATTTCAGTTAGTTAAATCAGAAAGTATCAGGTACGTTTTTGAGAAGGCCGAGATGTTTATAAAACCGCTTAGTTATTTTATTATTATTATTATGAGGCTTGTGGTGAAATAAGATCTTGAGATCAAGATAAGTAAATTTTTAGGAAATTCTTTTTAATAACTCGAGTACCTTTTTTTAAACCTTTTACTTTAATTCAAATTCATTAAAAATCATTAATTAACTGTCCACAAAATAATAAACCNAAGTAAATTTTTAGGAAATTCTTTTTAATAACTCGAGTACCTTTTTTTAAACCTTTTACTTTAATTCAAATTCATTAAAAATTATTAATTAACTGTCCACAAAATAATAAATCTAATATAATTATCGTACTTGGCATAAAAAATTAAACTTCTAGAATCTTTTTTTAAACGAATATGCGTTTTCCAAAAAATAAAATGAAAATAAATAATTAAAAATCAACAAAATCAGTTATAACGTATTTTAAGACTTTTACATGTTTTTTACTGTATGTAGTGTTTTTGTGGGCTATTTATTGAGAAAACAACATTGAAGTTATTATTTTTGAATTTCTTGTAAAATTTCCTTTACTTGAGTTTTATTTTTATAATTCTAAGTTAAGAGAAAAAAAAGTTATGAGACATAGATCAGTTATTTCTATTAAATTTGACTCTTCGGCTCAACTTAATAGGCCCGGGGGCACGGGTTAACCTTAACGGATCGGTCCCAAATTTTGCACAGCTCATTTTTTTGACCATTAAAAAAAAAAATTAAGGGGTAGCGTAAAAAAAAAAAGACATTCGATTTTTGAGGGTCACCCTAATGAGACATAAATCTAAAAAGATCAGGAATGCAATCACTATCTGCTTAATCTGCCAATCCGCTAAGAAGAAACTATTAAAATAATATAATATATTTAAGTTGAAAGGATACGTTATTTTTATATTCAAAGGGAATATAATTTGAAGAATAGCTTCATTAGTAATTTGGAATAATTTAGGGATAAAATTATATTCTACTCCTTTACATTTAAGTAATAAAATGCAATATTATAAGAAAAAAAGTGACTTAACGTATTGAATCTTATTGGTCAATTTGAATTCATGTATGAGTAATATCATTGTTATTCTCGTGGTCGTTAAAATGTTATCATATATTGTAGGTATAGTAGAAATGTACAAGTGATAAAGGGTAAAATGTATTGTTTTTGTAGAACCGATCGCGTGCCAATGCCAAGTTCAATGATACTCGCGCAGGTTACGGCCGTTAGGTAAATATCACGTAATTGTTAAGTATTTAGATTAAGAACACAGTAAAAACTATGGTCCATGTGTGTTTTTTATCGGCCAAAAACGGTTAACATTGGAATACTTGCTGTTTTATTATTTCGTTTACCTTCGATCACTACATGTACATGACATTTCCGCTAACTAGTAGTGCACCCACTGCTATCATCACCAATTAAATCATTTGAACTTAGCAGGAAGAAAATAAGTAAAAAAATATACTCAATAAAATTATAGCAGCAGTATTTATAAATAATAATGGCCATGCTCTCTGTTTAGACCAGGGTCGTTTGCTAAGTTCTAAACAAAAAAAAAAAAGATTGAAAAAGAATATTGTTATAAAATGTCTTAATCATATTGTTCATAAGATTATTTATGAAAATTTGATTTAAAAAAATTAATTTAATTATAAAGTTTTGACCGTGAATATGTAAACGACTATAAAATGTGCATTATTTTTAATAATAATTTGACTCACGGGTGTACCCAGGATCATAAAATATAAAACAAGTCCAGTTATAATAATTATAATTATATACATATATACATATATAATTTGAATTTATAATACCTGAGCACAGCCTCACTAGAAGTACGGATCAAATTTTTTTTTGTCATTATTTAAGAATAAAAAAACCCAGCACAGTGGGGTCGCGGCACAGTAGGGACGTGACATAATTGGGTCCAGTATAAATGATATCTGACAGTGATTAAAATCACTATCATAAAAACGCTTCAATGCAAACCTGTAGATAGTGTTTAATTTAAAAAAATTGGTGGATTATTCTAAAAGCCACATGATCTCCTATTTCCTAATTTATATTCTGATTACAAGTATTATGATTTATAAGTGTAATACATGAATATATATATATATATATTTATAATATATAAATTTAAAGAGTTCTACTTCTATATGCATTTTTAAGTTTTGAATTCCTCTGTATTAAGGTAAATAGTCCGATTAAAAAAAAAAGTAAGTTGAATAAAAGAAGAATATAAATAGTACTTATCTTAAAAAATTATAATGATCCATACATTTTTCAAAAAGTTATAGCATTGTAAAATTAAAAATAGAAAAAATAATTTTTTTACAAAAAATGTATTTTTTATTAACTTTGATATCCATTTTCACCATGAAAATAAAGTCCGAAATTGTTTTTTTCCATAATAAAGTATATTATATTAGCTTAAATTTAAAATATATATAAAAGTGTCACAGACGCTGGAACAATTTCAAAAGTTAAGTTGGAAAAGTCGTCATTTTAAAGCCCTCCCTTGTGGGCATGTTAAGGGTCAGATTTATAAAAAAAATATATAAAATGATAGGTAAAGACATCATGCATTTATAAAAAAAAATTATATCGATTTGATCATTTTTAATAAAGTTATAGCATTATAAAGTTAAAAAAATTGAACTAATGTCGAAAATTAGCGATTTTTAAATTTATAATTTTTTGGAAATTTACGAGGAACGAGGGAAATTTTTTCAATTTTAGAGGGTAATTTCTTCGACTAGATACGATTTGTGATCTTTTGACATATCGTTGAAAGAAATCGGTTTGGCGTGAGCTGAGAAAAAGTGGTAACAGACACAAAAAAAAAAAAATAAACACATCATAGTAAAATTATTTATCTTCTCAGGTTCCCATCGAAGCTAAAAATGTTGTGGTTTGGTTTTTGGTTTAAAACTGTATGGGGGCTTTAGTACACAATTTTTTTCTTTTTTAGAGGTATTTTATGATTTTTATATTTGATTAGTTGTTTTATATTCACTTTGCTTACATAATTAAGAAAAATTATCATTTACAGCACAACTCTTGCTTGGCTATTAAATTATTTGGTTAAAAATTAAAAGGTAAAATGAAGTCTAAATGTATAGCTGAGAGAATATAAATAACAAAAATTAAAAAATAAACATATTTTTGGTTACTTAAAATTAATTCAATATTTATTAAATTGATTAATTATCTCTATATTTCAATTTTCTTACTTGCTCATAATTTTAATTTTGTTATCCATAGCTATTGAGATAATAGTTTTTTTCATCAGTTTGTTTGTCTCCTTGGTGAACATTTTTTATTCATAGTATGAAAAAAACTGTTAGGTGATTGAATATAATCACACCACAACGAATATGTTCTAAAAGATTTGTTGTCTTGATAAAACATAATATGACTATTAAAAGTGCTGCACTATATTAATCGATGGTTTAGATGAGGGTATCTTTAACTTATTAAATTGTTGTGGTTATGATTAACGGAACATGTTAGATGTTTATTTATATACTAATGCTTTCATTGAAAAGGAATTAAATAACGAGTTCAAACGTCGATTTACCGATGGTTGATTGTTGATCGTAAAATATAAGTCGGTTAAAAGTAGAAGATTCTTCAGGGTATAAACCTGATAACAGGTAAACAGTAGGTCTTCATTTTTACTCGAACTCATTGAGTAGCGTACAAACTCGGTTGATCAGTTGAGGAAGTCTTTTCCCACTCTCGGCTACTACAAATATTATCAATTTGTATTTGTCAGGTAATGTTGTAGCGGCGAATTTATCCATCACATTTTGTCGTATTCGCGCAATAGAAGAGGAACATTGCAATTTGCACCAAATGAACACGTTTAGTCAATTATCAGACTTTATCTTAAGATTCATCTGGATACTTGTCCGAATTCTTAATATTGTAAAATTTTATAACAAATAATAAATTTATCTTAAATTTATCAAACACACATTTCCAATCTTAAATGTATCTGTTTATCAACTGTCTTTGCATTGAGAAAATATTTGATAACACTGAAGTTTGATTTTGTCTAAATGTAATTTCTAAGGTAATTGATTGCGAGCGATTTGTCACTTTGTTTCATACACAAAAGAAGGTCATACAATTTACTGTAAGTATGAAATACTATAAACAATTATTTTGTCTTCACTGCAGTATAGTACTTAGAAGCTTTTATTCGTACGAGTTATATTTTAACATGCATTATTAGTAATTATGAACATTATGTAATTATTCATAAAGTAAATTATTGTATCCGTGAATGTCGCAATATAATATTGGTGTTAAACAATTTCGTTAATTATCTGTTGTTTCAAAAGTAATAAAACCTAATTGTTAAGTTTGAGGGCAGTGTATCCATTGTAATAAAGTAATAAAATGACATTTCGGAAAGGTATCAGCAGTTATTTTTCGGATTCTAATTAAATCCAGAAATATTTACAATTTAAACTTTTACTTGGCAAATCAACGGGATAGATTAAAAATTCAGATTTATAATTTTCCCAATATATCTTTTATAAATTCAATATTGGGATTCATTAATGTATGTTGAAAATGTCGCATTTCAGTTTATTCGGGCTGTTACAATTTCTTCAACGAAAATGTTAATTTTTTTAAATTTATTCTTATGCAAACTATACTTCTAATTGCTATTTTCTAATTTGAGGATATTTGATTTGGTAAGTGTTTTTTCGATTGAAAAAATATCCGAATGAAAAATATTCGTATGAATATAAAATTTTACTTTTTATTAGTTTTTTTAAATATATCGCGAATTTCACGAGCATGGTTCAAATAATATCAGAAAATTTAAATAGCCGGTCATAGAATTACTATTAAAAAGTGATTTTTCTTGTAAATAACAGTTAAATAAAATAATTGATGTTATAATGAGTTAATTTGTTTTTATTTTTTAGTCTAGTTTTATGAAATACTTAAATATTAACTATAAGTAAATTTTATTTTATAAATAATTCAATCATTTCTTAGAAGAATAAATAAATTATTTATAATTGTTTTTATGATAAAAATTCGACGAATAAACTAATTTATATTTTGGCTCCTATATAAAGGCAAAATATAAATAATTGTCACATTTTAAAACAAACACTTAAATATATTTAGTTAGTATTCATTATTTTCGAAGAATAAACTAGGAGTGCACATTAAAAAGTGGTTAACATAATAGAATGTTAATTGTACTTATATATTATTTAATATTTTATCGAGACTTATTAAGATTATGTGAGTTTTTATTTCATGTATTAAACATATGTTCAATTAATATTTTAAAAACATTTCATTAAGTATCCAATAAATAATCAGGGATTGACTTGGCCTAGTGGGTAATCACTAATAATTTGGCGCACAGGGTCTCGGGTCGATCCCCAGGGTGCTAAGGAGATTTTTCTTGTGATTTTCTTATTAGTGGTGTCTGGTCTCTGGTGCAGTCGGCTATTATACCAGTTACGTCCATTATTAGCCTAGCCAATAACCATCTTTGACTCCCTAACACGTGAAAGAGGACCATCACCCTTTGTAGCATGTTAAGTTCGGAAATAGAAGGATGTAAAACTGATTATTATTTATTTATCCAGTAAACCATCAGATAATTTGATAAATAGATTTTTAAATAGTCGTGAACAAGTAGAAATGTTTAATTAAAATAAAAAATATACACTTATAGCCTAAAATTTTTGATATCTTATAAATTTAAAATTAATCTCTTTTCAGGTAGTTTTTAAGAAAATATTAACTGTTTAAGTTATTACCCCAAATAGTAACTTTTATAGGTTTGGAGTTTAAATTTGACTTACATGAGCATTCTTTGAAAGTAATTAGGAAATTATAATCTACATTTTATGTTTAAAAAATTGTTGAAATTTGATATCTAATCGTTATTAAAAAGAAGGTCACTACGACTAGCGTGATAATATAAAATAACAGCTTTAAAGAAGTACATATTATTTTAATTATGTCGACTTAAAATTATATATTAAATCAAAAATCACAGGTAGATCCTACAATGCGTTCAATTATTTTTATTATTTTCGTTGTGTCGCAAATCCGCAAAATAAAAGTGCTGTATAATGAAAATGTAATAAAGAACGATTATTAAAAACGTCACTTAGTTGTTGTTGATTAAATTAATTAAATTACATATAATTTATTTTATAGTTTATAATAGTTCTTTTTACTTACTATTGCATTTATTTTTAATTTATATAAACAAAAAATTTTTCGTTGCTATCTAACTTGTATTAATTCATCATATTTTACAATGAAAAATTTGTATCATACACAAACTAATAAGTTATTGTAGCTTTTATGTAAAAACTAAAATACTTTAGATATTAAACAATTGAATAGGTCGTATACAACTCAAATGTTAATCTAATTAATTTTTTTATAAAAAATTTAGTGGAGTTTGTTAATAGAAAACTAAAATTAATTTAGGTCGAGATAAAAATTAATGCTCTCAAGTTATTCATTGTGTTTGAGATTACTGTTTATTAATCAAGGACTACAACATTTTTTCTAAAAAACAATATTTTGATACATAAATTATGTTTTCTATCTTACTTTTAATAAAAAAAAAAACCCAGCACAGTAGGAAAGCGGCATAGTTCGAGCAAGTATACAATTAATACAAGTATACAAGTAGATGATATCTGACAGTGATTAACATATATATTACAAAATGCTTCGCTGCCATTAAATTTCACAAGAATTTGTATATTTATAATTTGAAAATTGCTTACTTTTTTTATCATAAATTTTAAATTGTTATAGGTTTTGGTTTGTCAGGCGTCTTGATGCATGCTCAAAAATTGAAAATATAGAATTTTTTACTTTAGCGGCCGAGTTTTTATAGTAGAATTTTCATCGGGACAATTTTTTTTTAATATTGTGGTCAGATCAAAAGTTTTATTTCGATATAGGTTGAAAGTTGTCTGACGTCCCAGAACATATTTGAAAATTGAATTGAAAACAATTTAGTATTCTCTATTAAATTTTAATTTAGATCAATGTTTATAAAAAAGAATTATAGCAGTTTTTAAATGCAGAAAAAAAATGAAAATTTTTTTTTACGTTGGTGTAATTTTAAAATGTATTTTAAAATTTTTAAATTTTCATGAGTGGACAATAAAATAACACATCATACCTATGCCTCTGTTTTAAAGTTAATGTGTACCGGCCTGTAAAAAATGTTCATTATTTGTTTATTTGTCGGTATAGACTAATAAGTGTAACGCTTGAATGCTTACGGAGTACCGACCAGATCATTGTATTTTCCCATTAGCTGTTAGAATCAATGAATAGTATTTCCTGTATTATGCAATATAAAAATCCACAATAAAAAAAATTTTTTTTATTTTAAAATTATTATGATTATTGATGTACAATTATTTTTCCATTATTGCTGTTGGTAGATAGATTACAACAATGCCATTGAGTTTCCATAAACTTGAAATTTTCATTCATTGGCAATTTAAATGTTATTTGTATAAAATAGTAATGATAAAAACTAATCTTTCATTCATATTTTAAAAATTCCAGTTAAAATGTTTAATTGATTAAATTAAAATGTTAGTCTAAGATAACGTTTGTTTTGAATTTTTTCTAGAACTTCATTTAAAATCCAATTAAAATATTTTGTTAGATTAAAAAGAGTTCTATAAATTAAATAGATAACTTTTATTATCTAATAAGTTAGTTTTGGCTGTATTAAATTGAAGGTTAGGTCTAAACATAAGTAAAAAAAAAAAAATAAAAATATTTGTTTTAATCATTTTAAACAGGATTAAAATGTATTTAAATATAATTTTTTATTGATGATATTCTGTATGTTGTAAACAAGTTTTAAACTTGATTTATTCAAGTTTTAAATTAAAAAAAATTATATTATAAGATTTACAGACTTATCATCATACCCAATAGTATGATGATACCATAACAACTGTTTACATCAAGCGATTCATCAGAATTTAACACATATTTTCTTTTTATGGTATAACACAAAATATTTCTTTTTTATGGTACACGTAAAATCAAAAAACAGGTTAGGTATAGAAAATTTTCTAAATTATTCTCTATATTTAAAAATCTGAATAGAGTTAGTCACCGTTAAATTTATTCAACCATGTTATTTGTAAAAAATGAATTATATTTATGGCGTTTGGGAAAAACTATACAAGTTAAAATAAGTATATAAATTTTTGACTTGGATAGTTATCTTCCCAAATACCACCAATATGGCATGTAAAATTTTGTTTGATTATTTTAAACAATTGTTTGAGTTTAACCTTCATAAACACATTTATAGGCTCAAAAAAAAATAAAATTTTTTGATAGAGAGAGAGAAACAAACAATGTAATAGAAGCTCCTCACTATGTTTATTATAATTATAAATAGATTATGCGACTATAGGTCTTGCAGACACATTTTTTACACTACAACAATGATAAATTATATATTTAATAATTTATACTTATAATGTCGTCATTGGCGTATTGTTCTTAGAAATTTTTTTTACTTAACTCAACAAATAATATCTTTATCATTTAATTTTTCATCATCTGTATATCCCTTCGTAAAAACATTAGAACGTTATAACATTTAGTTTGTAAATAAAAAAATTAAAAATGATTTTTGATAATAAGTTATCAACACATTTTAAACCTTGACTTATCATTATCAAAAAGTAAATGTTTACGTATTATTTTAGCAATGATAAAAATGTCTTTTTAAAAGACATTTTGAGTTAAAAACGATGTATATTTTGGGTTTAAATTACGATTTTAATAATAAATATTGTTTATAAATTATTGATCTTCACTATGTTCGAATAATTTATGTTAAGATAATATTATATAAAAGTCCTTATTATATTATTACCTATAATTTACTTTAGAAGTAGGAAAGTTATTTGAATCAAATCGCATGATAGCAATTGAAAGTTAATTATGGTATTATTTAGTTTAGTATTCAAACAAAGTTTGTCGAACTTAATATGTCTATCAATTATTTATTTCTAAGAGTATCACTCTAGTAGAATACTAAACTTTAAAAATACTTAATATTATTGAGTCAATTAGCTACTAAATAAATATTTAAAAATAGTATTTTGTCAATACACCTGATGTTTTACTTCATCTATTATCTTACTCAAAAACAACAGTTAACTGACTATTGAAAAAGCTACTAAAAATATACATTGTTTTATACCTTTTCTTTTTTTTTTAAACTACATAGAAATACTTGAATACTTCGTAATTTAGAGCATACAAATATAAGATTATAAATGTGCAAGTGGTTTAATAATTATTAATTTACATACTTATGGGCATTAACATTAACAAATATAACTTAAAAAAGAAATAGGACAAAAAATTTGTTTCGCAAAAATTTTTTAAGGTGTTTTTATATTACATACTTCCTTTATTTTGTATTTATTTTCTCAACTATGCATGCAATTTTATATTTCAATAGAAATTCATAATTTATTAAAGAAATTATATTCGACTTGTAAATTTTGATCAATAACCAAAAGATTTAAACTCTTAAATTATGACTAAATTTTAATTTATTTTGATTTGATTTTTATGTATTAAAACAGTAATGAACAGTCATAAAAAAATTTATTTTACAATTAATTTTAATAATCACATTTACTATAACTATATAAATGACAAACTATATCACACTTTTTCTGTAATAACCAGAATTTTTACAATATCTGTTGGCTTTAATGGGTTTCTCTGACGATTTTATAGCTTAATGTATTGTAATTTGCTTGTTATAGAACTTCTATGTTAGTAGCTTAAGAACCCCAAAAGTATTACGGCTTCACAATGGTTTACAAAAATACTTGCGGTAATACAATGGGTACATTCCTAATAAAATATTTGCCCATCTTAACATGGATGCCAAAATACAAACCATCTGACTTACTGTGTGATGCAACCGCAGGAATCACCGTAGCTCTTACTTTAATGCCACAAGCTATTGCCTATGCATCTCTTGCTGGACTATCTCCTCAGGTTAGTAATTTATAATAAACATTTTAATGTCTGTCAGCTTTAACCAAAAGAGAGTCGACTATTTTTAATAGAATATTTTAATTATTTTTTTGTGCTTAAAAGTTTATGAAAATGTTATAACAAGACGGAAAAATTGTATTTTTATTTTATGATCATGACAATCAAATTTTTTTTATTATAGATAACAGTGATTAATTTATCATGAACCACTTAATTGAAAAATAAATATATTGAGATTTTTTTTTTGATTCTTTTAGGTACATATTCTTTTCAATTTACCAATTATAACGCATTTTTTATGTTTATCCCTTATACCTTATAAAAATGTAATATTTATTTTTTCAAATGACAACGTACAATAATATTTGTTATTTTTTTGACAGGAGTTCTATAGTTATATGTTTTATTTAATTTATTAATCATGAAGTAGTTTTTATATTCATCCCTTATACTCTATAATTTTTCAAATGACAACATACATAATTAACTAGCTTATTTAATAGATAATGATCTAATTAAGAAAATGACTGGTTGATAACATTTAGACCAGTATTTCAGAAATTATTGACTTTTTATAGAAATGGCTGCAGGTGAGACGCGGATATGATTACTTTTTTCACTAGTTATTTACTGCCGCAATATCTCTAGATATTAAAACGCAATAACTTCCGGATATACAACTCAAAAGTTGTTATCGACCAGTCATTCTCTTAATTTGATCATCGAATAAGATAGTTAATTATATATGTTGTTACCAATATTATTGATATTTTTGATTCATTAAGTGGTTCATGACGAATAAATCGTTTTGTGTACTACTTATTCACTTGTATATTACTATAGATATTTTTAAATAAAAATGTAATATTTGAGTACTTAGAAAATTAAAATTTTAAATCAAGAAGTCTGAATAGAAAAAATTATTTATTCGAGGTCCAACTTTTTTTACGTCTTATTGTAGTAAAATTACATTAGTGTAATACAATGAATAGCAGAACGTAAGTAGCATATCGTCAAGGTTTGAACTGTTGTGAGACTAATTACCATGATAGTAGTAAAAACTGAAAACAAAATTAACTTTATATATGTTTTTATTAGTTTGGGCTGTATTCTGCTTGCTTTGGTGGAATTATGTATATTATTTTTGGATCGGTTCGACAAATTACCATTGGACCCACATCAATAGTTGCACTGCTTACATTAAATTATGTTAAGCCAACTTTACCATCCACAGCTATTATTTTATGTTTTGTGTCTGGTATAGTGGAACTATTATGTGGAATTTTTCACTTAGGTATTGTAATGAAATCACTAGTTATTAAAAAAACTTAACATTTAAATAATAGTTATATTTTTAAAAATTCAAATAATCATGCTACTAACATTAATATTAAAACATATTTATAACTTTGAAATATTATCTAATGATTTAATGATTTAATTATAATTATAAATTATTATATTATATTATATTATTTGTATAAATTTTCGATTCTGATCTGTAATTTTTAATTTGTAGCGGCTTTTATTTTATCTCATTAAAACCTACTCTTAAATATTTGAAAAGTTACAGCTTATAGAATAATTCTGGTGCTTGAACCTCAAAAGAGCCAATATAGAAAAATGAAAAAAAAATTCTGTTTTTAAATAATTACTAAAAAAAAACTAGTGACAAAATGATTTTAAATTATCTTTATGATGAACTTTCTTTTTATCCAAGGAAACTAAAATTGCGTTATGAACATATTTAGTTTCTCTACAGTGACCATATGAAAAAAAAAAAAAAATTTTCCATTTTTGTATATTTTTTAAACCCAAGTCCGAGAATTACTCGATATTGATTTTTTCAATCATCAAATTTGAAAAAAAAGTTAAGTTGTAGTATAATTTTTTTAAAAAAAATTGGTATAATTTTAGATTACTAGTATAACTCTTAAATATTTTAAATAAAAACACCTAAAAATTTAACGATATGAAATAAATATCTAAAATTAAAAATAATTTTAATAGTTATACTTCACTGGATTCGAATAAAAACATTTTTTTCATAGGTTTTGTCGTTGAGTTTGTGTCATTACCAGTGACTGGAGGATACACCTCAGCTGCAGCTGTTATATTGGCTTCTTCTCAACTTAAAGGACTTTTTGGAGTTTCTTATCAAGCTAAGAATTGTGTCGAAATGTGGATTTTGTTAGTGAAAAAGATCAATGATGTAAATTTAGCTGATACAGCTATGGGTACCATTTGTATAATTGTCCTAGTTTGCTTAAAGGTAAATTCTTCGCTTTTTAAATTAGAATATTATTTAATGAAATCTATTCAATTATTATTATTTTTGTCTAAAGTTGAAAATATACAAAATAAATATAAAAAAGAATTAAATAAATTTCTAGCTATTAAAAAGGATAAAATTCAATTCCAAAGGCCTGAAAGCTAAAATATACTCCGGATTAATATTTGGTTTAACTACAGGAAGCAATTTATTAGTAGTAATTGTGTCAGCAACAGTTGCTTATTTCTTAGTTGAAGAAGGCCACTCGCCATTAGCGTTGACCGGTAATAATATATCTATACTCTCAAGATACCTATTAGTTTTTCCAATATGCGTTTGCATTGGGGTTTACAGGTAAAATTGCTAATGGTATACCTAATTTCCGGAGCCCATTTTTGGATTATGAAGACGAAAATGAAAAATACACCTTTTTTGAAGCCGTATCAAACTTATGGCCTGGCATTATAATTGTTCCTTTAGTTTCTATTTTAAGTACAATTTCTATTGCAAAAGCTTTTAGTAAGTTTAATTTAAAATTGTTTTTTGTGGCTACTTTATTTTTATTTATTTATAAAATAAATGTAAAATATTGTATAATTATTTTAATCCACAATTAGGTAGAGGTAATATAATAAATGCTTCACAAGAAATGATTGCATTAGGCATTTGTAATATTTTTGGATCTTTTGCTGGAGCTATGCCTGTTGCAGGAAGCATGTCTAGGTCTGCCCTAAACAATTCAACTGGAGTTAGAACACCATTGAGTTCGATATTTACTAGTAAGAATACATGAACTTGGCGTGTTACATTAAAAATGTACATTGATTTGTAATCTTTAGGTGTTTTAGCCATGTTTTCATTGACTTATTTAACACCGGCTCTCTATTATATTCCCAAGGCAAGTCTATCTGCTGTTCTTATATGTGCCATATCATCTATGTTAAAAATAAACATGGTTAAGTTTCTATGGAACACTAATAGTGAGTATTTAATAGAAATTTAAAAATAAGATATTTCATTAAGAAAATAAACGTATTACTTGTTAAATAATTAAAATTTTTTTTTTTTTTAGAACGTGATTTATTATCATTCATGACTACCTTTATAGCTTGTGTTATTTTTGACGTAGAAATGGGTTTATTAATTGGAATTTGTTTTGATTTAATAAACTTGCTTTATTTTAATGCAAGGCCTTCAATAACCATTGAAAAATATGCGGTATGAACAATTTTAATATTATTTGATGTAATTATTTCTTTTCTGTTGTTTCATTCTCCATTGTAATTTTGTTGGTCGATAATTGAGATTGTTTTTAGTAAAACTAAGTGAATTGTCTTATTAAATAAAACCAATTTAAATAGTTTNATAATTGAGATTGTTTTTAGTAAAACTAAGTGAATTGTCTTATTGTTTTGTTATTAATAGAATACATTAGGAACTGCCCAATGGGTTGTCAGGCCTAGTAGTGGCCTTCTATTTCCTGCTGTCGATTACATAAGACAGAAAATTTTAACTGAATTAGTTCTAGTCAACACTGAAGATAGACCAAAGACCATAATCATCGATTGTACATATTTTGATAAAACTGATTTTACGGCAGCTCAAGTAAGTTTCACCTAATTAATAGGTAATTTTATGAAGTACGAATAAACTAACAGTCAATTGAATAAAAGACTTATCTATATAATAAAAAAATAACAAATTATCAATATTTTAATTAAGGGAATGAAATCATTAAAAAATGAACTAAAAGCTAATCAATGTGCTTTTGAACTAGCCAATGTTAAAACAAATGTGGAAAAAATTTTGGAAAGTGTTGTCGGTGTTAAAGTTATATGTATGCCATCAACACAAGAAGTTGTTAACAAAATAAGTCATGGTAAATTGTTTCTTTATATTTATATAAAATTTCTGACAATTTTTAAAATTATTTTTATTAGGCATTTCACATTATAAATTAACCACTTACCTAATAATTAAATAAAAAAACACATGAAAAAAACTTTTAATTTTTAACTTATTTAAAAACCTAATTTAAAAAGAGGGGAACGTCCCTTAAATTTGTTGAATAGCCTTTTTTTATATTTCCTGGATATTAAAAAGGGGGTTTTTAGCTCATAGATAGTTATTATTTATAGTAATATAACTAGTCACCTAATATTATTAAATAAATTTGCATCCTAAACAGTCATATAAGATTTATTTAATTTTATACAATTAAATTTTTTACTGAAAATAAATAGAAAACTTGGTTGTTTTAGAAAATAATCTAACAAAAATAATTAAGATCAAAATATCTCATTAAATTATATTTTTGGTTTTCAGTATAGAAGTATATAAATATGTGTGTGTGTGTATAACATTTTTCTAGTATCTTTTGTGATTAAATGCATTAAAACAAATCGAACTGATTTCTAAATATTTCATATTTAATATATAAATTAAATAATATATAAATTTATTCTATTAGTATTAATGAATGTTATATTTAATTTATAGTTATTGATCAAATTCCCATAAATGATATAGATTCAATCAAATTAAATGAACTTAACAAAAAGGATATTAATGAACATAAAGTTTAAATTAGTTTTAAGAATTTTACTTTCAAATAACTCATCAATATGTCAAGAAGATTGATGAGAGTAATAATAATCTTATTTTCTATGAATTTTTCTTTTATTTTATTTTAAGAATCGATTGTTATCTATTACTGTTATTTTAATTGTTAACTTTTTTTATATCCTTATGAAAGTTAAGAATAAAGAAATAATCTGAAAGGTTTGTATTAGTCAGAAATATGAGCAAACCAAAATAGTTTTTCCCAATTGCATTTATAGTTTTATTGGGTTTTTCTTAATTTGCTCTATAGATCCTAATTAAAATATAATTAAATTAATTAAAATTAAAAACAAAGAATTTTATATGTATTTTTTAAAACTAATTAATTGTTTTAATTATTTATTTTATTGATCTCTATTTTAAATTGCTGAGCAATAATACATGTTTAAATTAGATTACAATTTGTCATTGTTTGTTGGGTGTTAAGCATTTCTGTGTTATTTTTTTAATAATATGTAATAAAAAGGTAGATTAAATTTTTTATAATTATTTATCATTTGTGAGTTGAAGATTACTTACTTTTGTACGGATTTGCACTTATTAAAATATTTTATAATATTTATAATAAAATTGAAATAAAAGAATGATTATTTATGTATTGAAAAACTTGTCTTGTTATGGTTATTATTTATTTTTGATTGATGTTAGTTATTGTTAGTGGCGTGTCCAGGAATTTTAAATGAGGAAGGATGTCATAACTAATAGGTATTAATACAACTAAATACATTTAATGGGGGTGAAAAAATTGAAAATGATTAATAAGGGGGCTTTAGAGGTCAAGCCTCATTAAAATATTTATTAATATTTTGTATTTTGTATGATATAATGTAATGTTGTTGTACAAATATACAATGTAATAATTACAACTTTATTCAATTATTGCTGTTAGGTACTCGATGCTAGAAAAAAAAAGCAATGAGGAGGGATATGACCCCTAACCTCCCTCCACGGTCACGTCATTGGTTATTGTAACATTAAAATAATTTCATTTTTTTTATGTAATAATTTGTTCCATTAAAAATATTTAAATTAACTGAATATTAGTTTTTTTATTTAACTTAAAAAATAAGTAAGATAACTTTACAAATAATTATTTCATATTGCATTAAATACTTGAAAAGTTTTTATTGAGAATGGATAACTGGTTTTTATGTTTAATACAATTCATCACCCGAATAAAAAGTTTTTATAATTGTGAGTTAAAAGTATTATTCCATGAATAGTTTTTTAGCAATTAGTCAATTATTATTATTAGTAATTGATAATATGACGTTAAACTGTCAAGATATATAGTGAAGTAAATGACCGATTTTTTTTTTTTTTATTGCATATAAGTTCTACATAAATAAACTAATGAATATTTATTCAATTTATAATCTCAATCATTTACGGTTTTCGAAAACTTTTTGAACTCATAATATTAAAATTATTAATTTTATTAAGAAAGTAGAAAATTAAAGTTTGCTTCAAATTAAAATTACAAAAATATGCAAAGGAGCAGGTTATGCAACTAATATTACTCCAGGTCATTTATATAAAACTATTTATGTAGAACTACCAATGACATATTTGTTTTAACTTAAAAATAATTAAATTTTCTGAGCGCTAATTTAAATTGATTCCATTTACATATATTATATATATTATGATTTAACTTTTATATTGTAATCCTTTATTTGTAATTAGTAAATACGTAAATTTGTTAACGTAGATTTACTTTATTTGAATATAATCGTGATAGTAAAGTATTTAAACAAAAAAATAACAATCTTTACGAAAATTTGAGATTTATGAGTATATTTTTTAATAACAATAACTAAATCGGATTTTTATGACACATTAAGATAAAATATAAAATTTCTCGAATTTTACTAATCATGTCTAATGGTCATGATTAATGTCAGAGTTTTCTGTTTTTTTTTTGTACTATTTTTATGGTAGTGATATTTTCATAAAGGCCCATCTCAAAGTACCGGACTAATAGGTCTTAATCATAGATTATTATGCACAGGGGTCATTATTTTTAATAATTTAGCTCGAATATGACATTTATTAGTTAATTCTTAGTGAGCGTTAAGAATGTTCACTAATCAAAAATCAAATTGAACCTATTTAAACAAAAAAATTATTTCTCGTGAGTAAAATAACTTCTATAATATTATGTGCATTCAACTATAAGCAACAATGTACTTCAGTTTTTATACAATAATTCACTCTTAATGTTTAATAGTACATTGTTAATGAAGAAGTTTTAAAATGTAAAATGTGTCTATTATTATATAACTTAGACTTTATTTTTATAGATTAATTATTTATCCATTAATATAATAAAACATTGTTAAATGATTATTTTTATCTTACTTAAAAATGTCAAAAACCCACTGTTTCATAAATTCTGATAATCTTGAATATTAAATAATTAAATATTATAATCTGTAGAATGATAAAAGACACTAAATTGTATGCTAATGCTATAATACTAACAAACTAATGAGAAGATTCCATGATTCTGTTATTTCAATTTCAAAATCAATATTTAAATTATTCTAATTTCATGTAACTTTTGAAAGTGTTCCGGAAAGTCTGACACTTTTATATATATATCTTAAATTAAAGCTAATGTAATGCACTTTATTATAAAAAAAAAAAAATGTCGGGCTATGTCCATTATTTTGTAACAATAGAGTTATCATAGTTGTATAATTGTGACTTTATTTATAACATTTTAGCTTCGATTCGAAGCTAAGAAGGTATTAATTTTACTATGATATGCTTTTTTTTTTGTGTCTATTATCATTTTTTCTCAGCTTTCACTGAACCGATTTCTTTCAACGATTCGTAAAAAGATCACAAATCGTATCTAATCGAAAACATTACCCTCAAAAATTGAAAAAAATTCCCTCGTTCCCCGTAAATAGGGGAAATCTCCAAAAAAAATACAAATTTAAAAATCGCTAATTTTCGACATTTTTAGCTTCGATGCGAAGCGGAGAAGGTATTAATTTTATTATGATGTGTTTTTTTTTTTTTTTTATGTCTGTTGCCACTTTTTCTCAGCTCTCACTGGACCGATTTCTTTCAAAAATACGTCAAAAGATCACAAATCGTATCTAGTTGAAGACATTACCCTTAAAAATTGAAAAAAATTCCTTCGTTCCCCGCAAATGGGGGAAATATCCAAACAAATTACAAATTTAAAAATCGCTAATTTTCGCAATTTTTTCACTTTTTTTTCTTAAAACTTTCATAACTTTTTGAAAAATCAACAAATCAACATAATTTTTTTTATACTAAAACCTTAGATATCTACCTTTCATTTGATATCATTTTTTTGAAAATCTATCACTTAACCTGCTCATTGGGGGGGATTTAAAATGGCAACTTTTTTACAAAAATTAATTTTTTCAACTTAATTTTTGAAAATGTTCCGGAAAGACTGCGTCCTTTAAACATATATCAAATTAAAGCTTATTTTATGTACTACAAAATGAAAAAAAAAAATTTGTCCCGACACTTTTTTTTCTACATTTAAACGGCTGCCGTAGTTAAAAAAACACTATTTTTGTGTTAAAATTTTCGATTTTCGATTTTAAATTTTCAACTTAAAAATGCTATAACTTTTTGAAAAATGTATATATCAGCACAAATTTTTTTTTTCTAAATACATTATAAGTACATCTTTCATTTGACATACTTTTTATTAAAATTGGACAATTTCCCCTTATATAGGGGGCGTTCAAAACTTAAAATATTGTAAAAAACATAGATCTTTTTCAACTGAACTTTTGAAAATGTTCCGGAAATACTGCGTCCTTTAAACATATATCAAATCAAAGGTTATGTTATATACTATCAAATGAAAAAAAAAAATTTGTCCCGACATCTTATCTTCTATGTGCAAATGGCTGTCGAAAATTTAAAAAAAAATGTAATGTTTGCGATAAAAATTACATTTTATCGGGATGTTTTTTGTACTTAAAACTGCCATAACTTTTTCAAAAATGAACAAATAAAAATAATATTTTTTTGTATTGAAACCTTAGATATTTCCCTTTCATTTGATATAATTTTTTTTGAAAATCTAACACTTATTCTGCTCACTGGGAGGATTTAAAATAGTAACTTTTTTACAAAAAATAACTTTTTCAACTTAATTTTTGAAAATGTTCCGGAAATACTGCGTCCTTTAAACATATATAAAATTAAAGCTTATTTTATGTACTACAAAATGAAAAAAAAAAATTTGTCCCGACGATCTATCTTCTATACGCAAATGGCTACCATATTGAAAAATATACTATTTTTGTATGATAATTATGGGTTTTGTATTTTATTTTAATAGAAGTTGATGTTGCTTTTGCAATTATCCATCAATTTTTTAAAATTAAACACTATCTACAGATTTGCATCGAAGCGTTTCTTATGATAGTGATTTTAATCACTGTCAGATTAAATCTAGACTGAACCCAACTATGCAATGTCTCCACTATGCCGCGACCCCACTGTGCTACCGTTTTTTTTATTTTAAAACTGCCATAACTTTTTTAAAAAAGACCAAATCAATGTAATTTTTTTTTATCAATGCATGAAGATTTTATCTATCATTTTATATATTATTTTTATAAATTTGACACTTTATCTGCCCACGGGGGGGATTCAAAATGACAACTTTTTCACAAAAAATTTACTTTTTCAACTTAACTTTTGAAAGTGTTCCGGAAAATCTGACACTTTTATATATATATCTTAAATTAAAGCTAATGTAATGTACTTTATTGTGGAAAAAAAAATTACGGAATTTATTTTGTCTTCATAGTGAAAATATTTACCAAATTATATTTTTGTGTTGAAATTCTCGATTTTATATTTTTTATTTTTAACTTTATAATGCTATAACTTGTTGAAAAGTACATGGATCAATACAATTGGTTTATGAGAAATAATATTATTTAATAACCCCTTTTTCATTCGATATACTTTATCTTAAACAGGATATAAATAAGGAAATAGGAAATCATGTAGCTTTTGGAATAATCTATCAATTTTTTAATATTAAACACTATGTACAGATTTGCATCGAAGTGTTTTTTTTGATAGTGATTTTAATCACTATCAGATATCATTATACTTGATTCAACTATGCTACGTCATCATTGTGCCGCGACCCCCTTGTGCTGGGATTTTTTTATTTTAATTCCAAATATGATTTTTATTGACATTGAAATTGATTTCAATCCCTTGTATTATGATGGGGTTTTGAGGAATTTTCTAAAAACGTGGAAAATTTCAGAACCTGCCTTATTCTGATTGTCTTATTTTAAATTACCGCTCTTTATCTTTAATCTTATAATTTGAGCGTGACGGTTTGGAATTATTGGGTCACTTAAAGATTAATGGGTTAAATAAGTTGGCTTTGGGCTACACTTACATCCTCTGAGGGTTTGAGGGCTTGTGTCATCATTCTATGAGAGTCCCAGAGGAGATCGAATCGGTCACCGGAACCTGCAATGAAAAATAACAATGACATGATTAAAGATAATAGCGCAGCAATTAAAATTCTAAGAGTATCTACATTTGCAAAATAAACTGTCTCGTGGCACATTGGTGTTCACACGATAAATGGCAATTATCATGATTATAACTACTATTATTGAACAAATTTTAAATACACACTATGTTATTTTTTTTTATCAATTTCTTTAGAAATCGTTAATATTTTTAAGTAATTAAATCCATACAAATAATTGCTGACAATATTTTTGAACATATGTACAGATAACATTAAGAAGCCACAAAAATGTAAAAAATATTAGGAAGTCATTTATAAATATAAAAATACAAATATAAATGTAAAAGC